AGAGAGAGAGAGAGAGAGAGAGAGAGAGAGAGAGAGAGAGAGAGAGAGAGAGAACTTTGCTCTGGGTCTTGCCATAAACGTGGGAGTGTTTGATGGAAAGTTAGAGCAATAAAGAGGAGTTTTGAACTATCAGCTGACTATGTTGCCTGTGTGCCTTGTCCCAGGACATCACATATGATACTAAATACAAAGAAAAGGCCTGTTTGATTCTGGTGCGCTCTGAATGGCTGTTCCTTCTACTTTCTCCTTACTTCAGATTAGCCTCAAGCTCTGATTGATTTTCACCTCTGCAGTTTTAACAATCTTTGTTTCTCTGTTTTCAGAGAATACTTAAACTGCTATCATTATCAATCTTCCTTTCTTTACTTCCCTTGGGTTGTACAAGACAAATATACATTGGTTCTTTGCACATCTATCTGTACAGCCTGGCATTTCATCAGAATCACGGACAGCCCAGATAAGTAAGCAATGCCACAAATCATGCAGATACCCAGAATAACACAGGGATGAGGCTCAGGTAGATATACAGTAAGTAATGCATTGGACTACTGTTCACATCATGCCAGAAACCAAGATTTCTAGCAATGATATTGGGGTAGTTGGAAGCCGCAGCCCAAACCAACAGGAAGGAAACATATAGGAAAGCACACAGCATTGCTTTTCAGGTTTATATTTCAGATTCAAATACACCTTTTCATCCCTAATACAGTTTCATGAATGAATCATCCAACTAGTTCATGATCCAGCAAATGACTCACTCTCTTACACACGTACTTTTTTCCATCTTATCTTTACTGAGTTGCATAAGCACAATGTCAAGGAGACTGTAAAGAAGGAAAAATTGTTCTGCAAACAATGAAAAGGGTACATTGCATTTCTTTAATGATATGCCAAGACTATATATTCTTACCCCTAGAACAGGCCGCAGTGATTGCAACTGTTCATCATAACCACCCCAGTCCGTCCATTCCTGGTATTCACCTTCTTCCAGTAAATACTGATGTCCTTCAAATTCTGACTTCTCATAAGCAACCCAGCTACGAACAGTGAACAAAAATTGAAAACTCAAATACAAAGCATGATTGTTAAAATGTCATCTTAAAAGGACCAAAAAAATGGAGCATAAGATAAACTGAACTAACATTTTAAATTAAGGCAAATTTTTGACACTGCGTAGATCCCCTTCTGTAACAAATGGTAGTATATTGTCCAATTTTATTCAGTTTTAGCTAAATTTTAAATCAGATTGGTAGGAAAAAATAATAAGATTCATATAACTTCAAAAAACCCCAATCACTATGTTTTATTACTAGCATTATCCTACTGTGTGGCATTTATGTTTACTTAATAGTGATGATAATTCATTCATTTCATTTGAACATATTTTGGATACACCTAGTCCTGCACTATTTACCATAATATTAAGACAATTTTCAGAAAAATGTGCTCTCAAAGTTTGTACAATATTAATAAGTAAATAAGGAAAACATGAAGTTTTTTACTATTACAAATGCTTCACTGACTTGTTCAGATTGATATTTTAACATCTTTAGATGTTATGGTGTCTCCTAATCTTCCAGTTTAATAACTAATACTATGTTACTGTTTCCACAACTGTTATGAGTAATATCACAGGGGCTTTAAAGTACTGTTTCCTTAATCTGCACTTTAGGATGTAATTTCTAGTTCCAGAAAGGCATGAGGCGGTAAAGTTTCAACTTCCTAAACACTTCTGCCTTTTAGAGGGTTTTAAAGATTTTCTAAATCTTTTCCAAATACTTATGCCTTTAATGTGACACAAACATTTTAATGCCGGCTCTCTGATTTATGGCCTGGATACAATCAGCCACATTATTTGCGATATAACCATCTTAAATCCCATTAAATCAGTGGGCTTAGTTAAATATTATTTAATCTGGATCCATGTGTGTGTGTGTGTTTGTGTGTATCTCCACTGTTCCTGAATGAGCCTTTCTTTTGGACTATATAATAAAGCTGTAGATTCTAATTATATTCTTTCATAAACATACATGCTGTGAGCATGGTCCATCTATTATCTTCCTAAATCATATATTTGTAAGAATTATATCTCACTTTATGTACACAGCACTCACACCTCCATTTTTTCTACCAACAGTCAAGAGAGAGTAATTGTCCCATAATTAACAGTTAAGTTTTTGTAGCTGAAAGTCCTACTCCAACACTTAACCATGACACTACATTCACTCTCAATGCGACTTTCTCTGCCTCTACCCTCCAGGGGATGTAAAATAAGATGTTATCATTTTTTCCCTTATACCTACATTCCTCCCTTCACTTTTATAGATCCTATTGATGTGAGCAGCTCATTTTCCAACTCTTCAGATTCTTCAGTTCTGTCTCCTTCCTTAGCAAGAGCTGTTAATTCTGAATCCAGTTCTATATGTCTTCCTTCAAAGAATGGCTTTTCATAAACAATTACCTTAAACAAAATAGTTTATGGTTAGAAATTTGCTTTTTTATAAAAGTTCAAAATGCTTTCACATATATTACAGCAGAATTCCTCAAAAACACCTTGTGAGCAGCAGCCAGCATTATCATTTCAGTTTCAGAACAGATAACAAAAAGACAAGAGCAAGATATAAGACATTATGTTTGTTTGTTTGTAACTAATATAACATTTAAATCTGTGGCACCTCACCCATAGCTCTTCTCTCCAGTCACCAAAAGCTAATGTGAATATATGATATACCCGTTATGGCAAACCTGTGGCATGCATGCCAGGGGGGGGGGCACACAGAGCCGTCTCCGCTGGCATGTGGGTCGTCGCCCCAGGTCAGATCTCCATGGTGTTTCTTTCGTGAGCGTCTATTACACTGAAAACGATGAAACAGAAGCTCACAAAAGAAGATCTTACCTCTTGCCGCACTGCCAGTGTTGGAATGCCCCGCCTCCCGCTGGCCAGCTGGTCTTCAGTTCTGTGCTGTGTATGCGTATATGTCTGTGCATACGCACACGTTCACGCCTGTCCACACATGCGCACTCACACCTTTCTGTGTAAGGGCATGCACATACTTGCAGTTTGGGCACTTGATGTCTAACAGGTTCGCCATCACTGTGATATACCAACAAAATCAGAGCCATCTGAAACCCGCTAAAGGAAGACGTTCACCAGAGAAACAGATTTCTTTTTCTTTTATACCCATACCTTCAAACCTTTTCCAGAGTGTCAGGTGAACAAAGTTGTCAACATCGCACCTAAAGTTACAGATTTGGAGGCACTATCTAAGGCAATATTTCTCAATCTCAGCACCTTTCAGATGTGTGGACTTAATTCCTAGAAGTTCCCCAACAACCATGCTGGCTGGGGAATTCTGGGGAATTGAAGTCCATACATCGGAAAGTTGCTGAGGTTGAGAAACATTGTTATAAGGGTATCCCAGAAACCATAATTTGTCAGGATATAAATAAATAACATAGATAATCAGTGGCATGAATGATTGGTATATGAATATAAACTCTTCTGGAAAAAGTGATTATTACAACATCATTATAGTTTAAAGATAATGACTCACATTCAATAAACAATACATATGTATATAACTATTTTACCTTTTGGCTTTTAGGATATTCAACCTTGCGTCCACCCTACAAAAATTGATGGGAAAATGTTACTGGAATGTTACATAACTCAGATCGTTTTCTGTTAGCAGAACAATTGAAGTACCACCCACATTTTCCAATGAGTCAATAGAGAATCTATTCATAACAATGATCCAGTAATCAAATTTTAATTAAACACATGCAAATTTTACTACATTTAATAGTAAAGATCTAAAATAAAAGCTCAATAAAATGTCTAAGCTGCAATGACCCTCCAATGGAAAAAATATTTCCAATCCAATTATATGTTTACAAATTTTAAATTTCACAATTGAACTTGAAAAATAGGACAGATGAATAAATGAAGCTAAAACGATTCTTTCACTGTTACTGTCTTTTAGGTGTGTGTCTTGTATCTTCTTTTAATTATCTCACCATTTTCAGGGGCTTCAAAGATCTAATATATGCCTCTTTTTTCTCCCAGCATGACAGATCAGGATATTCTCCTGGTTCCAACATTAAAGGGATTCCCTGATAACCAGGTTCTTCATAAAGTAGCCATCTAAAAATGAAAAACAGTATGATGTTTATAGGAAAATTCAAATTCAAAAAAGCCCAGAGAATAGATGATACTTAGAAGTCTCCTCTGACTACTGTCTAGATCAGGGGTGTCAAACTTGCAGCTCAAAGGCCGAATGCGTCACACGCTGGCCACGCCCGTACCCGGCTTAGCAAAGGGGGGAAAGTCACACTATGTCATGTGATGATGGCATGACGATCCGGCTTTGACATCCCTGGTCTATATGGAAGATTGCATGGATAGAAATTCGAAGGTATTTACCTAGCAGTGAAACAATGATTGCTCATTAAAATGTTTATAGTCTGCATATTATCCAGCAGATCTTGTGCTATTATATAATAAAATCAAATCAATTTAAATCACACAATTTAAATACCTGGAGTATTTAAAGGATTAAAAAGTACAGTCAGTCTGGACACTGAGGCAGAAATATGAGGGGGAAAGGCTAAGTTATCACTATTAAATATTTTTGTTATATGATTTTTACAAAATTATTTAATAGTAAATGTTTAAACACAAATAAGTGGTAGCATCTAGCTAAGCTTGACTTATCTCAGTAAGACTGGTTAACACTTGGATGTGAGGCTACCAGGAAATCAAAAGACTGTAGTCTAGACTGCAAAGTTTTTTAAAAAAAGGTGAAAGAAAAACAACATATCACTTATATGCTGTTGCTAAGAAAACTACAGAAACTGTTCTGGTGGTGAAGCTCATGCTAAAGGACAGGTTATACTTAGTTATAGGATTTTAAAGTGTCAGATTGGTTTCAATGAATAGCTATAATGAAATGCATACAAATGCTTTGCCAAGATATGTACGTGGCTTCATTTATATCCACCCCCACCAGAAGCATTCCCAATATACTCAGTAATGCTATGATTCATATTCATAATGCACTTTGCAAAATGATGAAACCTAATTTTGTTTTTTTATACTATCTCCAGAAGCTGACACTAGAATTAAAATCAATTATTGTATAATTAGACATTATACATTTGTCCTGTCTGAAAATTCAACAGCGAATAATCCTTTTTGTATCCTTGTCAGACAATTTTGAAAAATATTGCTGATAAAAGGACTCCTTGAAGTCCTTTATACATGAACATGTATACAACCAAAGATCTCGTTCCAGCTTTTTTAATTCATGTTTTAGTTTATTAGATTTATATTATCTTTTTTTCAATCTGGCGTAAGATCTGTTTTCTATCAAGTTATTGTTATACTTCTAAATATTTCTTGTCTGCACATTTCTCTAGCATGCGAGAGCTATTTATCTAAGGCCATTCTTTATTTAGCAAAGTGCATACCTCCGCATAGTTTTATAAACATTAATGCCAAATTATTCTATTCTATTAGGCATACAATAGCTACAACCAAGATTTCACTCTAAATGCATTTATGCTCATAAGAAGACCAACGATCTATTAAATAGATAACAAAATATCTATCAGATATTGTATCATAAAATAAACTACCTATATGTTATATTCTGTTTTGTTATCAATGAATCACTCCTGAAATAGCTATCACTTCTTAAAAAAACCCTGAGGTATAAGATATGTAACAGATTCAGGGTTATCCAAGAACCACAGCTAATATACATATTCACATACTTACATGCCCCAATACACTTGAATAGAAGAAGTCTTCTGAGAAGACCCAAGTCGTGTTTCTTCAGTATCATCAAAATATGCATTTACTAAGCCTAATCCTCGTGGTTCTGTAAACAGGTCGATTCGGCAAATTCTATAATCCTGAAAATTTATAAAATTCTAATTAAGTAGGCATAGCCACATTGCTCTTACCTTGTCGGTTCTGATCTCACCTTAGAAACAAAAATAACTAATAGCATCTAAAAAAATCCTGTCCTGTTCATCTGACAGCTTGACTACTGCAATGTGTTTTATATGGGGTTGTCCTTGAAGACCACACAGGAGCTTCAGTTGATGCATAAGGCAGTGAACAAACAGTGATGGGCATGCCTCTGGATGCAGATGTGACACTCTACTTCGTAAACTGCACTAGTTCCCAAAGTCCTTCTGGGTGCAATTCAAGGTGTTGATTACTACTTATAAAGCCCTACATAGCCGTGGGCCTGGTTATTTGAAGGACCACCTGTCTTCCTGGACAGCTCAATCTGACAGGGTTGGTGTGCTCTAGATGCCATCAATTAAATAATCTATTGGCATCCCTGAAACAAGTCATCTCTGTAACAGCCGTGACCCGTCAAAAGCGCGGAGGACAAAATCGCGCTCGACGAAAGCGCGCATTTGACGTCATCACAGCACGACGAAAACATCGCGCTGTGATCGAAAAATGTAAAAATAAAGCTAAAACCTTCCCCTAACCCCCCCAAACCTACCCCTAAACCTAACCCTTAACCTAACCCTAACCCTAACCCTAACCCTAAATCTAAACCTAACCCTAACCCTAACCCTAACCCTAACCCTAAAGCAAACCCTAACCCTAACCCTAACCCTAACCCTAAAGCAAA